GTGGTATGCGCCGCATGAGGCTGCGGCGCGCTGCGGGCGCAGCGGCGTGCGTGGCCGCCGGCGGGGACGCTGTCAGCACGCCCATGTGCGGCATGAGCCCCGGCACACTATGCACTCGTGTAAGATGCAAGCGCTACTGCTAGGCTTCCATATCTACGCAGCTGGTGGATGCAGAGCTCGGCTTCCACATCAACAGTAAGGGCTCAGTATTGTTCAACAGATCAGCTTGGTAAGGACCTGGTGAGAACCTATCATGAACAGCGCGTTCAATTGGCATCGATGCGGATCAGAGAACTTCAAGCTGATCAGCAGCAGTGCAGGTCAATATGAGATCCGCAGCCGCGCCGCGTCAGCCAATCGCTGCCCCTTCTCTTTTGTCACGTGGCAGACGGCGTCTAGGTATAAGATGTGAGGCTTCCAGGCCCAGCCGGCGCACTGCCGTGGCCGCGCCGCTTTTGTTGCTGCCGACTGTGGCAGCGTCGCCGGCACCAGCCGCGACCGCCGCTTGCGGGGGCGACGCGGCGGGCGGCCCATGGGCATTCCATCGGCGGCAGCTGCTGTCGCTCCTGTCCGTCAGCAGCGACTACAACAGGTGAGGACGGCCCTGCCCCCGCAACGCCACAAGCACACCGGCCCGCTTCATGCATCGCCCGGACCCGCCTGTCGCGCGAATGCGCCGCCCCTTGCCACAGACTCCATTCTCCTCCACCGCCACTGCATTCAAACCACCAAACCACTCTTTACCACACCTGTATGTGCGCATAGGTATGCGGGCTCATATGATCAGCTGGACGCGGGGGCGCTCCCAGAGGCGCTCGGGTTCGCGGAGCTGCGAGCACAAATAGTCGGGCAGGTGCGGCGCGGGCCCCAGGGGCGCTCACAGGCGCGCCTCCCTGGATCGCTGCCGCCCCTTCGTTTGGCTGACTTGCGGCCGGCGTGCGTTGCAAACCTGCGGAGTTGCGGCTGGTCGCCCGCAAGTTCCGGTTTGAGCAGCTCGCCGCATTGTGCTATGGGTGGATGCCGCCCTACGGGCTCCATTTAGTTAATCCTGCTCGATCCGACAATCCGCAATCGAATCACTGCAGGCGTTTGGGGACGTGTTGGAGTCGGCTGTGGGCACGGGCCTGAATTTGCCGCTGTACGACGCCTCGCGCCTCTCCAGCTTCACCGCCGTCGACATCAGCCCCGGCATGCTGCGGGAGGCCGCGCCGCGCGCGGAGGCACTCAGGCGGCGCCTCTCAGGCGCCGAGCAGCAGCGGCAGCAGCAGCGGCAGCGGTCAGAAGCCGCCGGCGCGGCTGACGGGACAGCAGGGCCAGGGGTGCAGTTGCTGGTGGCAGACGCGGCGGCGCTGCCGTTTGCGGACCGCAGCTTCGACTGTGTTCTGGACACCTTCAGCCTCTGCGTGTTCGAGCGCCCCGCGGCCGCCGTGCGCGAGATGGCGCGTGTGCTGCGGCGCGGCGGGCGGCTGCTGCTGCTGGAGCACAGCCGCAGCGACAATCCGCTGCTGGGGGCATACCAGGTGAGGCGGGGGGCTGGCATGACTCATGGTTGAGTCGCACCCGCCTTCCGATGGCCGCCACTCAGATGGCCCCAGGGTTTGCATCATCAGCACACCTCGCTGCTGTCACGACAACGTTACTGCACACCCAACGACTCGTGCCCGCTGCCGTCTCCCGCCTGCCGCGGGGCGGCCCCATCACCTGCCGGCCCGAAAACAGCCCTGCTTTCCGCCAAGCGGCGCGCACGCTCCGCTCCCCCGCTCTCTCCCCCCGCCCCAAGGACCTGACAAACCCCGCGGTCCAGCCGATGAGTAAGGGCTGCGCCTGGAACCAGGACGTCAAGGGGATGGTGGAGGCGGCGGGCCTGCGCGTGGTAGAGTCCCAGCGCCACCTCGCCGGCACCATCACGCTGCTCGTCGCGGAGCGGGTCTGAGTGACCGAGCGCGCGATCGCGCAGACGCGCCGCGCGCCGCGGGTCAGCGGCACAGCGCGGCGCCGTCATTAGAGCTTGCGGCACTGTTTTAGCCATCCACAGCAGATAGAGAAGATTCTTGCAATTTGGCCTTGCGGCGGCGATTTTCGGGCGGCGGCAGCTTGTGCCCCGCCGCACACAGCCAAAGCGCAGGCAGTTTCTCGAGTGATTGGCCGCGATTCCTGCGGTTTTTGTGGTGCTTGCAGCTGCGCAGCAGCACGGAGCATCCCAATTATATGTGTTGGCATGTGTCAGCACCTTATGCAGTTGGTCCCCCCCCAAATATCAGGCACGTTACAATCAAATCGCTCCTCAACTCAATCGCCAATTCGTGAGTGCTGGAATGTGTAAACCGCAATTCGTCTGCCGTCCCAACCTGCTGGCTGCGCTCGCTGCAGTAACTGCAATCGTATGCCAGCATGAGTCAGCACACCAGCGGCAAACCCTCCGGTGTTCCGGACCAAGCCCGCGCCCCCCTCCCCCTGAAACACAAGGCCAGGCAGGCATTACTCAGAGTCGCTGCCGCCGCGAGAAGCCAGCAGCCCGCGCTCCAAGGTCCTGCGCGCCCGCCCCGCCTGCAGCATCAACCACCCCGGCGCCTGCAGCAGCGCCTGAGGCGCCTGCCGCACCGCAGCCGCCGCCCGGCCCAGCGGCCCATCCCCCGCCTCGCCCTCCCCCCGTCTCTCCCGCCGCCGCGCGCCCGCGGCGCCCCGCTCGCCCCTCCGCCTCCGCAGCTCGCGCCGGCGCGCGGCGCCGTCGTCCCCGTCTTGCGTCGTCGCCGTCCCCCGAGGCTCGTCGCTCCAGCCGCTGCTGCTGCCCCCAGAGCTTCCGTCGCCGCCACGCGGCGGAGACTCCCCGCTGTTGCCGCCGTCCCACGCCGCCAGCGCGCCGCGCGGCGCCCACAACTCCTCGCCCCCATCTCTACCACTTCCGCGGCGCCGCCGGCCCCGGCCGCCCCTGCTCCCGTACCCGTCCCCTCGGCCGCCCTGCGGCCCGAGCGGCGGCGACAGCTGCTGGAGCAGCGCAAACGTGCGCGCGTGGTCGTAGGCGGGCAGCGCGCAGGCCGACGCTGCAGTTGAGGCAGCAGTCGCCGCGGCGGCGGCGGCGTGTGTGACGTGCGAGAGCGCGTCTGCGAGCTGCGCCTCGCGCATGGCGGCCGTCCTGCCGCCGACCTGAAGACGTGCGCGTGGGGCGCGGGGGCTGGCCGCATGAGAGCGTGCACTACAATGTGACCCGCGGTCGGCAGGCCCACGCATGGCGCGGGGGCCACGGACGCGCACGCTCACGCGCCTGCACGCACAAAAGGAGCGTGCGAGCTGTCGCGCACACTCGCACGGGCACACACAGAGAAGATATGACAAAATCACAAACACACAAACGTTGCAACCATGTGGTGACACACCCACGCACACACACACACACGCGCGCGCGCACACACACACACACACACACACACACGCGCGCGCGCGCGCACACACAAACACACCCCAACTCTTCCACACCCATGCAAACATGCTCGAATCCGCATCCTCACAAAACGACACCGACCTGTCGCTCGAGCTCCTGCAGCTGCGCCTTGAGGTCCACATTTTGCTGCTTCATGCGCTCGTGACGCAACTCAGACAGCCGCAGCTGCTCGCGGTACAAGCCGCCGACGAGCATGGTGGCCACGGTTGCAGTGCCTGAGACAAGCAGCGGTGTAATGGTCCAGCGTATGGTTGCGAAGGCGTGTGCGTCAGTGCATCAGAGAGAGAGAGTCACTGTGTGTGTGTGTGTGTGTGTGTGTGTGTGTGTGTGTGTGTGTGTGTGTGTGTGTGTGTTGTGTGTGTGTGTGTGTCGGGGTGGCAGGCGCGCCTGGTGCATCGCTCGCCAGCTCACAAGAGGCGCCGAATGGCTGTGCCTGCACCGCCACCCACGCGAATAATAAGCACTCGGACACATCACAAAACGAGATTCAAAGTGCACGCGCCCGTGTGGGCGCTTGGTTGCCCGCGCACCCAGGAAGGGCGCCACCTGCCGCACGGGTTCGGGCAGCTGCTGCCAGTTGGTCTTGACCGCGGTGATCAGTGGGTTGAGCACGTCCACGTCCATCCGCATGCCTTGGGACGGGGATGCATTTGTTTATTAGTTGCGTCATAGAATCTGTTGAGGTGCTTTTCTAGCACGGCGGCATGCATGCATAAGCTGCAGGTAAAAGGGACGCTGCCGCGCCGCGCCCTGCTCCACAGCAGCTGCGCGCATGTAATTATTGCAGCAGCATCCTGCTGGTGATGACGCAGGGCCCCACGCACCCATGCGGTGGCTGAAATCTGGGGGTTTTATCGACTTGGCTTGCGCAGCCACCCTTGATGATGTCTCGCGCCAGGCCCCGCTCCACGCGTGCCACCAGCTGCGCGGCAGGCGGGGCGGGCGGCGCGGGCGGCGGCACTGGATTAGCAGGTGTGACTCCGCATTGATTGCGGCGCTGCGTTTTCAATTGCTGGGCAGGCCCTGCCGCATGGGAGGCGGGCGCTGGCGCAGAACGCACGGGACGGCGCCGTGGGCTATCAAGGCAAGGGGCGCCGGCGCCGGCGGCGTGCACTCACGGCTTCACTACAGAGCTCGGCGAAAGATGGCCTGATGAGCCAGGACCCGGCGACGCGGCCGGCGCGCCCGACGGCGGCGCGGCGCCTGGCTCTGGCAGGTCGGCCGGTTGGTGCCGCTTGCTCGCGCGAACGAGCCAACTGGGTGGACCTCGGGGTCGGGCCCCTCCATCCAACATGACTGACTCGGGTGAATGCACTGTTGACTCCACTTTATGCCGAGCTGATAAGTATCATCTTAAGCTGGACGAATTTATATATGCCGAACTAGAGTGCGGGATCATCAGATCTACCAGAGGAGTGACTGTACACGCGTGCGCGGCCTCAGGAGATTGTTCGCATCAGGACCATCACAGCACAATAACAAACAACACAGGAGATTGCACAGAACGTGATTGTCGGCACCGCAGACCGTTGGTTCAGGGCGCGCGTCGTGCAAGCTCCCCTGCTCGTGTTGCCGTCCTCGGGTGGCACCTGCGCCCTCACAGGCTCACTCCATGCATGCGGCGCCGCTGCAGCAGCGACTGCTGGAGTACGAGCGGCTCGCCGTCGCACGCACGGACGGCGAGGGCTACCAGGCGGCTCATATAGCCGCAACGCACGGCGATTCAGAGGCGGTGCGGGCACTGCTGGAGGGCGCCGCGTCCTCCGGCCCAACAAGCGGGTGGGTTTCCCCGAGTTGCCTTGAGGAATCACAGCTGCTGATTACATGCTGGTGGCTTGCTGTGCAAGGCAGGGGCGAGTTGATTGTTGCGTCTACCAACTTCACCCGGCACGCACGCAGGCGATCAACTAAGGGCGAGCCATGTCCTCAGCAGCGGCAGCAGCAGCGGCAGCAGCAGCAGCAGCAGCAGCAGCAGCAGCAGCAGCAGCAGCCCTCCACACGCGCATTACTGGAGGCGCCACTCCACCAGCGCTTATCAGATTACAGGCGGTTGGCAGCCGCAAGCAGTGCCAGCGGCGAGCAGTTTGAGGCCGCCCACATCGCCGCCGCAGCGGGCGACTCCCAGGCGGTGCAGGCGCTGCTGGAGGAGCGCTGAGGGCAAACGAGGCGCGTTTGATGATGGCGACCAGCGTCTGCAAGTGTGTCCAGCAGCGTCACAGCACTGATTATTCTGCAACAAGTTGACATTTGTTGCATGAAAATAAACAAATGTGAAACCGAGCCAACCACATGTGCATTTTTCATGTAGCAGGCAGGACATGGTTGAAGTGCAGCAAACAATCGCACATGGTCCTTGCTGTATCCATTGTTGTTTGGCGCTTTGGTCCCCCGTCCCAACCAGCAAACCGTCCCAGTACTCCCTACAGCAGCTCACCCTTCCTCCAGTGCTGCACGCGGTCAACAGAAAGGACGCGTCAGCGCTGTCTTCAGGGGCTGCTGGCTCGCTCAAGCGGCGCAATTGATTGCGTAGCATCCGCGTCGATTCCTTGGTCAAGGCTTGCTGTAATATGGGGACTGCAGTACCGCAGCATCTGCTAATCACGGCAGGCGTCAGTCGTCCATTACCCGCCTCTCGAAATTGAAGCACCGCTCGCAACCCACTGCGCTGTGCGCGACGCACGCCGCCGTGCCGCACGGCAGCAGCTTGTACACGCCATCCACGCACAGCGGCCGCCGGTCGTCGTCGGGCAGGTCGATGCCCTGGTCAGCAAGGCTCTCCAGCTGCTCCTCTGTCATATTGTCCTGCAGCCGATACTGCGTGCAGCAGGGGTAGGCGATCATGGCATAGCCTGGTCGAGGCAACCGTGTGTGTTAGTGTGGGATGGGGCGAGCCCTGTTCTCCGTGCGGACTGTTCTAGTAATGGCCTGTTGGAATGGGCCAGCTGCAATGCCAGCCCTCAGGCATGGCACCTACATTGTTGCCTATGCGGAAGTCCATGGCGCAGCTGTGGCAGTACTCCAGGCCGTGGTTTTCGCAGAAGCACCATCCACGCAGCATGACAGTGCCGTGGCCAGCGCTGTTGACATGATCGGCCATGACGCAGGTTCCTGCACGTGTGCGTGAGCAGCGCCAATGTCCCTGTTGTTCATGTGCACTTAAGTATTCACAAAGACACTCAGCTGCCCTGCAGCACCAAACGGTACCATACGACACATCTGTTGCGCGACGCTGCTTGCGCCACAGAGCGTGGCACGCTTCAAGAGGCCGGCTGCCGATGCGTGGCCGCGATCAACATTCATTTATGTACGTGAGAGTCACCTTCCCGTTGGCCTCAAGGCTTCCGACGGAGATGTATGCCGTTGGACTGGACAGATCGCGATGCCAATGTCAATCAAACAAGCAGGGCTGGGACTCTTGTAATGCTTGCAAGCGAACCTGGTTCGGGGTGCATCAGCCCTGCGTACTTTTGTCCGGCAGGCACCCTTGGCAGCTGCCGTGCACGCGCCATTGCCGGAGGCGCCAAGTCATCAGCGCGCGCATACGGTGCCAGATTACAGGCGGTTATCGGCCGCAAGCGGCGCAAGCGGCGAGCAGTTTTGAGGCCGCCCGCCGCGGGCGACCCTCAGGCAGTGCAAGCGCTGAGGGAGCGACCCTGAGGGCAAACGCGGCGACACTGAGGGCAAACACGGCGCTTTCGACGATGGCGTCCAGCCTTGGCAGGGCGCGCCCTTTGTGTGGTCAGCCACATCACGGCAATCAACATCCTGCCCAGGTCAGCATTTATTCCATCATAATGGCCATTCAGAGAAGCAGAAGCAATCACGCACGCATGCCTTGCGCAGCTGGCAGGACATGGTTCAAGTGCAGCAGCAAGGGCACACAATCCCCGCTGTGCTCATCATTAATTGCCGTAATCGGCACATTTCTTGCACATTCAACCAGCAAACCGTCCCAGTACTCCCTACAGCAGCTCCCCCTTCCTCCAGTGCTGCACGCCGTCGCCAGAAAGGACGCGTCAGCGCTGTCCTCAGGGGCTGATGGCTCGCTCAAGCGGCGTACGTGATTGCGTAGCATCCGCGCCGCTTTCCTGGTCAAGGCTTGCTGTAACATGGCGCCTGCCGGTGTCGTGCAACGTAATGCGGCACCCACAAACCACAGCAGGCTTCAGCCGTCCATCACCTGCCTCTCGAAATCAAAGCAGCGCTCGCAGCCCACGGCGCTGTGCGCGAAGCACACCGCCGTGCCGTCCCGCAGCAGCTCGTAAGCGCCCTGGACGTGCAGCGGCGGCCGGGCGTCGTCGGGCACGCCGATGGCCTGTTCAGTGAGACGCTCCAGCTGCTCCTCTGTTAGTTCGTCTTGCAGCCGAACCTATGAGCAGCAGGTGCAGGCAAACACGGCACAAAGTGGTGCAGGCGACGGTATACGCCTGTGTGGGGTGGGGTGTGTAATGTCAAACCCCTTGCGTGCGGACTGTTCTAATGGCCTGCCGGGATGGGCCAGCTGCAGTGCCAGCCTTCAGCCCTGGCGCCTACGTTGTTGCACATGCGGAAGTCCATGCAGCAGCGGTGGCAGTACTCCAGGCCGTGGTTGGCGCAGAAGCACCATCCGCGCAGCCTGACGGTCCCATGACTGGCGCTGTTGTCGGGGTCGGCCATGGCGCAAGTTCCTGCGCGCGTGCGTGAGCAGCGCGAGCGTCGCTGTCTGTTCATGTGCACCACAGTATTCTCAAAGGCACCGAGCTGCCCTTCACCACCGAAAGCAGCACCAGAAACTCGTACACCCGTCGCGTGCCGCTGCATGCGCCACAGGGCGTGGAACGCTTCAAGCACCCAGCTGAGCGCGTGACCTTAACCAGCACTCACAAATCTAACTTTTCAAAAATCACCTCACGTTGGTTGGCTTCAAAGCAGGCTTCCGGCGGAGAGATGCTGCAAGACTTGATCGGTTGCAACGCCAACAAGCCGGGTTGATACACTTTTGAACGCTGGAAAATAGATGACGTGCGTGTCGGGTGCACCAGCCCTGTGCATTTTGCCCAGCACGCACTCTGGGCGAGCGTTGTAGCCAGCCCTGGTCCCAGCCCTCCTCGCACCTTGAATGCCACCAGCGCCCTGATGGTCCCCATACTACCACCAAGAGCAGGATCGATGCAACTTTACACAATGATGGATCTTCAAGCCAGATAAGCCAGAGGCCCAGCGGTGCGCCGCGGCCAGCGAGGCCCAGGAGGGGGCCCAGGAGCCGCATCAGTTGACCACATCCAGCACAACCCGCCGCGACTTGAGGGGCGCCCACTTGAGGCGCTTCTGGTACACCGCGAATGCCCACATGATGCCGATGATGGTGAGGGCCTTCACGCCCACCAGCTTGCGCTCGTCGTGCTCTGGGGACGCGGCCCACGCCAGGAACGTGGTCACGTCCTGCGGCGCAGACAACGATGTGCATTAATTCCGTGGAAACTGAGGCCTTCCAACAGTTTGTGCAGGCTGATGCATGGGTCCATCTCTTGAAGGCCCCAGAGGCGCGCCGCGCAGCTGCAAGCGAGCCTTGGCAACCACGCTCTGTCCGCGTCACCCACCCCCGCTGCTGCCGCCGCCGTTGGTGAGCATCCTGCACCGCTGATTCGCTGTAGAAATCACCTCGACGGCTGTAGACACTCCCACCCGAATTCCCCGACCGCCGCCGTGGCGCTCACCTTGGCCTGCTGACTGGAAGATGAGGGGGTGCCGTCGTCGTACTCCACGCCGCCATCGTTCAGCATGCGCGGCATGGCGATGGCGCCGCCAGGGAAGTACGGGTTGTAGTACAGCCCCTCACGCACCTGCCGGCGACGAGTCGGTGACGCAAGAAATGAGGGGGAAATGAGGGGTTTGGCTGCTGTGAGCCCTCCCCAGCCACGCTAGCCATGACAGCAGCTGCCACAACCGGCCATCTCTCGCATTTCGCCCCATCAGCCATCGTCAGCCAAGCTACGCTTCAAGCAAGCTGACTACCAATGGTATCTCTCTTCCCCCCCCCCTCTCTCTCTCTCCTTTTTGTCCCCTCGTCTTTCTGTCTCTGTGCCCCTCTCGCTGTACAGCCCTGCGCCCCGCCCACCGAGATGCCGGCTGGCGGCTCCTTGTAGCCGAGCAGCAGCGCAAAGACGTAGTTGGTGCCGTTGGGGCGCGCAGTGCAGATGAGGGACAGGTCCGGGGGGTAGGCGCCGCCGTTGGAGTAGCGCGCGGCCTGAGGTGGGGATGAAGGTGGGGTGTGTGGGGGGGGGGGAGGCATGAGCAGCAGGTTGGGGTGAGCTGGGGGAGGGCGCTAGCTGCGGTGGCCCCTACGCAGTGCGTCTGCCCCAAAGGCGGCAAGGGCGCCGCCAGTCGCCATTAAACCAGCCAACCGGCTCTGCTTGCGCCGCACTCGGCGCAGCCCAGGCAGGGGGCGCCTCCCCCCCCCTCCCTCCTGGGGGATTCTGCGTCTGCTCGCCTGCTCGTTGGCATATGGTGCGGGCAGCCCGTCCGACAGGCGGCCGGGCCGCTCATACATCTCCCCCTCGTCGTTGGGGCCGTCGATAACCTCCTCCTGCAAGGTGACAGAATCGGAGATGAAAGAGGATAGGATGGGAATCGTGTGGGGTTGGCTGCAGGCAGCATGCACCGCCGCTGATCAAGCAACAACCTCACCGCCCTGCAACCGCACACAAATCGCGTCACACCCATTGCCAGCACCGCGGCCGGCCACAGCACCCCTGCGGAGCGCGGGCACACCCCCACATCCCAGCCGCTGCGTCCGCCCCGGCCTGCCAGCCAGAGCTGCTGCGCGCCGCGCGAACGCGACAAATGATACGTGCTTGAACCTGCTGCTCCTCTTTGACAAGCCGGGCCGTCATCCACTGCCGCCGTCGACTGTACCCTGGGCTTCCCTGGCCCCTTCCGCGGCTGCACCTGGTGCCCCGCGCAGGGCGCCCAATGCTGACGTGTGTGCCCATCCCTCACCTCGGCAGCCATGGCCTTGGCCTCCTCCTCCGTGTATGCAACGCCCACCAGATCGCGGAAGTGGATGTACTGCATGCTGTGGCATGCGGCGCACACCTGCCAGCGCGGTTCGCGGGCGACCAACCCCGAGAGCGCAGCGGGTGGGCGGCCAAAACAATGGTTTTTGTTCCAAAACCGGTATGCAGCTAAGCATCAAGGTCTGTTTCATTGAGTCGCGGCGACCGATCAGACACCGCCCCTTTCCAAGCTCCGTGGCCCACTGTTGGTTGTCTTTTGAGGATTGAAAACCCATCTCACCTGCTTGTACACCTGGTAGCCACGGCGGATAGACGCATGGTCGTACGAGTCCAGCAGCCCGCTGTGTGACCACGGCCAGCTGCCCGCGTCCAGCCCGTGCTCCCCCTCGTGGTCCGCAGCGGCAGCAGTTGTCATGGCGGCAACCCCCGCGGCTGCGCCGAGCGCGCCCGCCGCCCAGTTCGCCCAACCCGAGCGCTGCTGCTCGGCGGCGGCCGACGTGCTCGCCGCGCGGGAGCCAGATTGCATCCCCAAGGCGGGCAGCACCTGCGGGAGCCATGGGGAACGGCCACAGCATCGCAACAACCCGAAACTGAGCGTGATCTGTATGCCCTAAGCTTCGGATGCTGATGCAAACATCTAGGTGGTCGTAATACTTCACAACAAAAAATGACACAAAATAGCCCTTAATGACGATCTCGCACTAGAGATCCACTGCCACGGGCACTCGCCTTGGAGACGGCACTGTCAGCGGCATGACCAGTGGCCTGGCCTTGCCTCAGACACCGCACAAGTAGTAAGCTCGCGCGCATGGCTGCAGCGTGAGGGTATGTGCGGCACCCACACGCTAATCAGCGACTGCTGGGGGCCAAAACGCGTCTGAGTTGTGCCTAAGAGATCCAAGGTGACAACCGACGCCAGATTCCCGAACAAAGCGAAGGAAAGCCTGCCGTTTCTTCCATCCTTGGCCCAGCTTCCTACGAGCTACCTCGCAAGGCGCCGGCAATACGTAGGTCGCATGTAGGCCGTGATACGCCTGTTTTCAGCTACGAAGCAGACCCACATCGACCCACGTCTGCGGGTACATTGGCATCATATCCGCCAAAGCCCACACACAGAGCACACACCTTGACCGCTGCTTGCGCGCATCTGCAGTCAACACCGCAGCATCAGCAGTGGCTAGCACACCAGATGGAGCACCAGGCAGTGGTGAGTGTGCAGCAGCTGTCAGAGGCGGCTTTGCCGCTTGTGCGCCTCGCCCTGGCTCTGCCAGATCTCACCGGTCCAGCGCCTCACCCCCGAACCCGGACGCATGCGCAGAGTCCGCAGCAGCAGCGCTGCCAGCGGCCTCAAGGGAATAGCCAGCACGACGTGTCTCTGGGGTCCGACAACCAGGCCGATGCCGCTTCACCAAGCGGCAGGCGTCTTCCGGTGGCACCCTTCGAGCCAGAAGACGGCGGCGGCTTCCCGCAACAGCATGGCCTGAGGCCAGGCGCCCCCAGCAGCAGCGGCCGAGTCAGCGCGCGGCAGCTGGCGCAGCTGTGCGCGGTGTATGGCGCCATTGCAGCGCACATATTCGTGATGGCCTACACAGACCCCCTGCAGGACCCCAGTTTTGTGATGCTGCTGCTGATGTTCACGTGAGCCTGTGCCGCCCGTTTGAGTATGGAATGGGCGGCCGCACGCCAGCAGCAGCGACCAGTGCTTGGCTGCTGCACATAGGCAGCTCCGTCTTTTTGAACCTGACCTGCACAACTCTGGTGGCCCCTGAGGCACCTGCCCCGTAACTGAGTGGTGCATCACGCGCCCGGCCGACCGCACCCCCCCCCCCCGCTCGCCGTGCATGTGTGCGCAACTTAGTGTGCAGCTGTCCCTGCTGCTGGCGATTCCCCTGGCCTTCTTTCTTCTGACCAGCCAGGGCCCCTTTGCGCGGCTGGGGCTCTACCACAGATACCTGCGGAAACACAGGTGAGGGGGCTGCCCCGGCAGGGGCACTGTATGCGTCCTGAGCCAATCACCAAGAGAGGGTGCGTCGCGCAGACGTGCACACACTGTTGATGGTTGGCTCAGGAGGCCTCCTGCACGCGCAAGCTTCAAGGTGGATACACCAGCACAGCAGGGCACCCAGCTGTTCACCTGTTTTTTTTGTGCTGGCGTCATCTAGAGAGATGCCCTCATTGTGCGAGCACGGAAGAAAAGCTGCAGTCTGCCTACTGCTTTGTGCTTGACTGGCGGCTGCTGCCCAGACGCGCCGCCTTGCCGCCCCCCTATGTCTAAATTTTCGTGATGCAGGGAGTTCTACCTGGCCTCTTTGCTGGCCGTCGCCGTATTTTGTGGGACGGGCGTGTACCGCCTTGCGCTCGCCCACAGCAACACGCCGCCCGCGCTGGTCTGGGCGCGCCCAGGGTTCCACGCGCTGTGGGTGGTCGAGCGCGCCTGCCTGCTGCTGCTCCAGTGCGCCGCGGCGCGCGCGGCGGCGCTGGCGCTGGCGCCGCCGGGGGAGGCGTGGCTGGCGGCGGCCACCGCACAGTTAGCGCGACCTATGTAATCGAAGTCGCGCGGCGCGGCACACTTGCTTTGTTACCGGTTTGGGGCACGTTGTCGAGTGGTCAACCAAAAGACACAAAAGCTGCGCAGCAAGCCGACTCCAGCACAACAGAAATGTTGAAATAAGCCGACAGTGCAGAAAGTTGCAAGGCAGCACAATGAAACAACAAAGCTCCAACAAACAAGTGCGACTGGCACCGCAAAAATCGCTCAGGAGCTCTGCTTGCCCAGGAGCGCCGCCTCCATGACCTCCACGGGCGCCTGCTCGGCGCCGGTGAACAGCCGGAACTGCTCGACCGCCTGGCCCACAAACATCTCCACGCCGTCCACCACCGCGCAGCCCGCGGCGGCGGCGTCGCGCAGCAGCCGCGTGTCGCGCGGCGTGTATACGGCGTCGAACACGAGCTTGAAC